AACCTCAAGGGACAGGAACGCTAGATGCATCACACGTAACTCTTTATATTGCCAGCCTCTGAAAATATAAAGAGTTAGGTCCCGAGGTTTTTAATCCAGACCCTTAAAGGGCCTGAAATTTTATAAGTTAATTTTATTTTTTCGATCTATATTTTTAAGTTTATGTTATTTTAGTGATTTTTTCAATCAATTAAAATATTAGATTAATTATTGATCATATCTTACACATTAATACTTTCTTTAAAATATAATTTATTATAATAATCCATTTATAAAAATATAAAGAAAACCAAGTATAAAACCACAATTATTATAAGATAAATATTGGATTAAATTATTCATCATTTTATAAGAAAAATCAAAAAAAACTATAAAAGAATTACAATTAATATTTTAAGGTACCAGAGATGGATTAAATGGTAATTCATTTTGGAGTAAATGTAATGGTAAGTCTAATCTCCTTTTGATATTTTAATCCTAGAATGGGTATATTTTTGGTGGATTTTCTCCATGGTAATAAAATATCAATGATTACGTTTAAGATGATACATTATCATCATTTATATTCTCATAAACACACGATTAAATCTACTCTTTGATCCAAGATAGAAAATAATATGCCGTCTATTGTAACTCTGGATATGGTCCTTCGTTAGGAGGTGGCCATGATATATATATAAATCCTGATTTTAAAGATGGTTATTCCAATTTAGGTCATAGTTATAAATGGGATAATTATTAGGATTAGAAATCAACTCATTTATTTGGATAAGATAAACCAGATTTGAGTGAATGTGAAATATTTGAATTAAAATATATTTGATATTAAAAGTTTAAATTATCATTATCTAAATTCAAAGTTTAGCTATTTATATCTTATATTTTTACCACTAATCTATTCTAATTATTTTTCAAAATTATTTTTACATATAATTAATATAATTAGCATACTTTATGACATTAAGAATCTTTTTTTTTCTAAAAAACTTTAATTCGCCCTCATCCTTCTTGTCTTAAACTTTAAAAAAAATGATCATAATTATTCCAAAAAATATAGAACCTTAAATTTTAAATAAATTATCTTAAAATCTAATGGGATAGTTGAGGTCAAAGGAACAAAGAGGAAGGAAGCTTTTTTAATTTAAATTTTAAAATATAATGTAAAGTTTCAGATTAATAGCAGATGATAGTATGAAATTTACAGTCGGAAGCTGGTTTGTCTTTGATTTTGATGGATTAATTAACATAAATACTTATCATTAAATGAATTGTAAATTTCATGATGGAGAGAAGGAGAAAAACAATTTATGTAGTAATTTTTTATCACTTCTTTAGAAAGATCAATTGATGGTAAGATATATTTAGGTTAATGTTGAAATCTTAATTAGGATGGGTTTGGAAACTTGAAAGGTGAATTAAGAATGAAATTTAGGATATGATCCCCTTCCATGATTGGAAAGCATTAGAAGATGGAATATAGGCAAAATATCAATTTTCAAAAAGAATAGCTTGTTACTTTTTGTAATTAACAATTAATTGTTGGCTACTGTAACATTAATTTTCATACTCAAGTAAACAAAGGAATGAGAATTTTTAGCAGTGGGGCTAAATTATGTATTATGGATTTGTTTCTAAATAGGAATAGGAAAGTATACAAATATCTAAAAATAGACTTATTTGATGTAAACCTTTTTTTCTTTTATTGTGAAAGACTCTCAATTCATTACAAGCTTATTAATCACTTAATCATTTTTAAAATGTTAGGGAAATAATATCGCAGAAAAAATTCAAAATCCTCTAAGAAAAATAAAATATTATGGTCTTATTTATAGTCATCGAGCTTATTAAAATGGTCTATTTGAATCTAATGACTTTCATTATTCAACAAATTATTATAATTAATTAATCGTAATTTCTTATTGTAAAATAATTTATAATTTATTTTACCTTAACATAATCAATAATATATCTAAAAAATAGATTTTACAATAATATTACACAATATAAAGATAATTGGTAAGCATTTATTGATAGAAAAAAAAATAGGGGATTACAATCTTCAACTAATCTTCGGAAATTATACTATTTAAGGTATAAAGGATTAATAGCTAAAATTTATTATCAATTCATCTCTCTAGATTTTAATGGTTACAGTTTTTTCAGGAGAAAGTTGATTCATTACTTAAAATAATTTATTCGATTATTGATAAAGATCTTAATAAGAACAGACACTTAGGTCTAGCCAATATTAAATTTTAGCTGTTAAACATTTTTGAATACCTTTTGTTATTCTTTTGTTAACAAAATAATAATTATAATTTCTTTAAGATATTATTATTTATTTTTATCCAAATTTTTCTATTTCAAATCATTTTGATTATTTTTATAAGTTAAAAACTTCTAAATATATTTAAAAGTTCAGCACCACATATTGTAATTAAACAATTTCAATGAAAAATTTCTTTCAAATTCTAAAAATTTGAATCTGATGCATTAAAATTTAGAATTGATAACAAAAATACCAATAATTAGATTATTAGGCTATTACTTTTTTTTTAATTAGATTGGTTTCAACTATTATGGAATTCTATCGCCAATAATGGTAAAATGTTTTATCATATACTTTTTATATAATTTAAATTAAATTTAAGAAATTTTAACTTAAATAACTGAGTGGTTTAATAACTTCAATACTATTGCTTTCCTGTTTGCTCATACTAATGATTCTATATAAGATTACTTGAAAGAAAATAGAATTTCTGTCTAAACTCTTTGATTTTAGACTAAAATTAAATGAATTAAACTTTAGGTGGGTTCATTTTGCTGAAAAAATGATGAATTATTTTCAACAATATTGGGCGATTGAAAATTTTAGTAAATTTATTGAATGAATACTTCTTTAAACAAAAAATTAATAAAAAAAGATTTATTTTGTAACCATAAGCTTTATTATTTTTTTTTTTATTTTTTTAGAGATTCTAGATTGATAGAATTGAGGCTGCTCCATTGTTAACAATCAAAATTGAAATAAACACAATTATTTTCATTATGGTTCAAAGAAGAGTTATACTTTAATATTTAATAATTAAAGGCTTCATCTACCTGATGGTGAAATAATTTTGGCAAATCTTAAAAAAAATTACACAATTAACCTTTTGAACTTCGCTTTTGTTTAACTTTCAAAAAGCTTTTTCATTCTTTTATCTAATTAAAAAATTGTTAAAATATTAACTAATGTAATTTATTTTTGGATAAAATTATTAATATTTAAATTCGTAAGGGATTCAAATTGACTATCAATAAAATCATCATTTTATCATAGCTTATGATTCATTAATTGAAGTAATTTTATTATATTTAAATAACTTACTTAAATTCCAAGAAAAAAATATATTCTATAAAAAAGTTTTGGATAGTAATATATCATATTAATCTTAAAATAGAATAATAGATAATCTTTTGAAGGAATTTATTATAATAAGAAATGAATACCTTAACATATTTTAAGTTATGAATTAATTTATAATAACAATGTATTTGTTAAATATAAGACAAATAATTCATATTGAGATTATGAAAAAATAAATCATAATTTCTTAAACTTATTTTCAGTTTATAAATAAACTTTGTAAATATATTTAGAAGTATAATTCACTTTTTTTGATATAAATCTTTCTAAAATATTTCAATTTATTTATAATATTAATAATTCAATTTCAAAGATAATTATTTGCAGAATTTTTAGATTGAGTAATTTCTGAGATGTATTTTTAATTGAATATATATTAATGTAAGTTAATCAAATGGATTATACATAGTTTAAATATTAAGTTAGTAAAAATTCAAACATACAAAATTATCTTTATATATATTTTAAGAATTTAAATCAATATTTTCCTTTTAATTAGTATATCAATAATTTGAAATTAAAATAATGATTAAAAATAATAAATAATAAGAAATATTTGAGACAATTTGATTGATTAATTTTTTGGAACTATACTAAAAAGAGGCAATATAAATGAAAATGTCTTAAGAAATTATAGATTTATAATAAGGAAGTATATCATATAGTTGAAATAGTTTTAATTGAATATTCAATTTGAAAAATTTACCAATGATTTAATTATGAGATATTAAGAATTAGATGAGATTTTTTCAGCAAGAATCTTTACTTCTGAATTGATATTATTATATTAATCATTAAGTTACACTTTTTTAGAAGAAAGTCAACATTTCAAAAGATTCAAAAAATCTTTAAAATATATCAAAAAACTATGAACTAATTAAAAAAAAACAATTAAATTTGTAATTTGATAATTTCTTACCAGCTATAAATGAAAAAAGTATTTTAGAAATTAAGAACCTATAGATTGAATTAATGGTATTCCTAAATGTCTTAGTCTCGTTATTCTTGTAAGAAATAATTATGAATTCAACTGGAGTAAAGTATTTTGTTTTTATATTAATTATAGATTTCGAAAACAAATTGGTATAAAATCAGCTTAAAGAATATTCTAATCATAGAACCTAAGAATAGAATATTCATGACTTAATTAATATTTTGCTCACTATGAAATTTACCTTTCTTTTATTTGGAAAATAATCATTGCTTTAAACAATTATTAGAATTTAATTTTATGGGTATTATAATAATAAATTAATATCTTCAAAGTTTTCATGATAAATATAACAAGTAAAATCTACGAGAATAATAATGATAATTATAAAATTCTTCAAAAGCTTCTATATAGAAATATACGAAGAATAATTAATTTAAGTCTATTGTTTATTGTTTTTTAATGTTCAAATTTGTATTTAGAATCTACTTAATTTTAATAAGCTGTTTATGTAAGAACACATTATACTATTTTAGTAAGTTTGAGTTGTGATCAAGGATAAGTAGAAAATTAAGGCTCATGTGTGGATTGTCCAGTTAATTGCTTAAGTTGTTCAGTTCTTTTGTCATGTGACACGTGTATGCTAGGATTTTATGTTACTCCTTTAGTTTATCAATGCAGTGCATGTTCTATTAATTGCCAAGTTTGTAGTGGAAGCAGTGGATTTCTTTGCTCAACTTGCTTTCCAAAGTTTTATAAATCTGGATCAAGTTGCTAGGCTTGCCCAACATACTGTGCTACTTGCACATCTAACTCTGTATGCTAAACTTGCGTAGATCACTATTTTATTATTGGAACTATTTGCTCAGTTTGTGATACTACTTGTAAGACGTGTTTAGGTACTAGTAGTACTTGTACATCATGTGATGTAGGTAAATACCTTTCAAATTCATAATGTCTTCCTTGCATATCTCCATGTTCTGCTTGTATCAACAATTCAAATGATTGTACGTCATGCATTAACATTAATTAAATAGCAGTTAATTTTTAATGTGTTTGCAATGATGGATATTATTTTGATGGATCAAATTAATGTTAGCTTTGCGAAGCACCATGTTCGAAGTGTGAAGATAATAGCAATAATTGTACTGATTGCATCTCTACTTTTTCATTAAGTTAGTATATACAATACAAATGTGAATGCTCAGATGGCTATTTTTAGTTTGATTCTCAAACATGTTAACGATGTATAAGTCCCTGTTAAACTTGCGAATAGAATCAGAATCAATGTTTATCTTGTGTTGATAGTAATTAAATAGTAACTAAATAAAATTTGTGTGTATGTAAAACAGGTTGGATTTTAAATACTGATGGTATCTCATGCATCAAATGTTAATTACCATGTTTAGATTGTGTAGATACAATAGATAAATGTATCAACTGTTTAGATCAATTACATTAATAACCTGAGTCTTGTCAATGTGATTCTGGATGGATATTAGATGATAATTACTTTTGCATACCTTGTTAATAGCCATGTAAAACCTGTGAGGTATCTAATACTACTAAATGCTTGACATGTTTAGATGATAATCATGAACTTAATAACATATAATAATGTGTTTGCAAATCAACTTATTATTCTAATAGTCTAATCACATGTGCAAAATGTTAAGAACCTTGTTTTGAATGCGATGCTGATGGTTGTATCAGTTGCTTAGTTTTAGATCAAATTATTAATCTAAATCATTAGTGTGTATGCAAACCTGGTTTTGTTTTAATAGGAGTTCACTGTGTAGTATCGAAATGTGGTGATGAAATAATATCAGAAGAGGAAGAATGTGATGATGGAAATCTCAATCCTTTTGATGGATGTTACGAATGCAAATTTTAGTGTTAAGAATAATGTGTTAATTGTAATCAAGGCATATGTTATGGTTGTATTACTACAGGATGGGTACTCAATGAAAATAATGTTTGTACAACCTAATGTGGAGATGGTATCGTTGTTGATGATTATGAATAATGTGATGATGGAAATGAAATCCCTAATGATGGTTGTTATTAGTGTTAAATTCAATGCCCATAAGGATGTATTGAATGCATATCAAATAAATGTATAAAATGCAATTATTTGTATTTTTTGGATATTTAAACATCAGAATGTATAGAACTTGATTAAGATATTGATTTGTTAACTATAAAGTTTGAGGAATATATAAATTTAAGATGCGGGCAAAATTAATTAATAATTGATAATGCATGTGTTAGTTAATGCGGAAATGGAAAACTTATCAATCAATATGAAGAATGCGATGATGGTAATTATTATGGAGGAGATGGATGCTCATCTTTTTGCCAGATAGAGAATTCATTTTAATGTTTAAATTAAGAGAACTAAATAAGCTTATGTACTTTTATTAAATCTCCTGAATTTAATTTGAATATTCTTTCTAATAGTGGGAATTATCTTTAAATTCTTGAGTTAACTTTTACATAATAAGTCAAATTAGAAGAAGCTGTTAATTTTGAAGATATTATTGCATTCACAATAACACCCTAAACTAAATATAAATAAACCATCACTAGTATTTCAGACATAACTATTTAACTAAACTATCCATAATATTAAATTGCAATTGAATTTATTGAGCCAATTGAAAATCCAGTGTTATAAATTTCTATATAGAAAAATACTATTTATAATTAACATAAATTAGGCTTATTAAACAATGAAACTAAAATTTATTTTGTCACACCTTTTGTACTTCCAGAATCCACTAAATAATAGTTAAAAAATGTAGTTTAACTTAATGATGCTATGATATATTCAATGGCTAGTGTATCAAGTTTAGCTTTAATAACAGGAAATACTATTATTTTTTTTAATTTGTTAGATTTATTATAGTCATTGTCTTATTTAAGGTTTATGCAATCATAGTTTCCCCCTCATTTAAGAGATTTTTTGAATACGTATACTAAAATCTCATTGCAACCAATTTTTGATTATTTTTAGATAGATTAATTATTAAATGGATTTATTGGAGTAAATACATCAAATCAAGAAAACAATAAATTACAACAAGACTAAAAAAAAATTTTAGAGTAACCTTATTTGTTGAATGCTAAAAGTTGTTATTTTTCTGTATTTGGATCCATACTAACATACACAATTTATTGTTTATTATCATCTGAAAGCTTAAAAAATAAAATTTTCAAATGCTTCTTAAAATATAAGAATAATTATAAAATTGTTTAAATTATAAATAAATTTTAAACAAAAGTTCAGATAAAAAGTTTAAAATAAAAAATCGAATATTTCTCTCTAGGAATATTTAAGGTTTACTTAGCAATACTTCATTAATTTATGTTCAGCGCAATTTTATAATTTCCAAATTACAAATTTGACTCTGTTTTTGCAATTTTCAACAGTATTAATGCTATTTTTGGATTACTTATTATTTTAATATCTACTTTAAACTTGCTTTCAATTACTGCTGCTAAAATAAAAAATAAAAGAAAATGGAAGTATTTTTTCTAGGACACTGAAACCAAATTTTGGGCCATTTAATTTAAGTCTTTTTAATTTTACAGAATCTTGTTTTATATATTCATTATTGTAGAATTTATAAACTATCCAGAAGCATAATCAATCTTGCTTTCTATCCAATCAATGTTGTTCTTAGTTTACTTGATCAGGTTTAAGCCTTTGAAATCTTTATTTGAACTATCTAAGTTAATATTAAGAGAGTTTTTATTAATGATCATTTCAGGGACATTCTTAGTATATAGCTTTGAATTTAGTTAGGATAATTTTATCTCAATTGGATGGATTCATATTGGTATGTTTTGTACTATTTTGGCTTTTAATTTGCTTATTGATTTATTTTCCTAAATCAAGAAAACCTATGATAATTATTTGTAAAAGAAATTAAAAGAGAAAATTGAACAGGAAAAAAACTATCATTTTAACCATTTATAAGGATTTTAAATAAATAAAAATGATTATTAATCAAAGCAATGAATTATTTAATAAAAAATAATCTATTTAATAATATTAAAATTACATTATTACTAACGATTCTAAATTTATTTATATTATTTTATATTTCACTCAAATAAACAGAGTATATACTTTTTCTTTGATGGATTCGGTTTTTTTTTGATTTAATTATTTTGATTAGTGCCACTTTTTAATTGGATATTGGTTTCCCTTATGATTATAATTCTTAATAACAATTTAACAACATGATAATAATTAGTTTTATGCAAGGGAATTAATTTTATTATTTGAGTTACATACTCGTTAATTTAGAATATGGAAATTTATGAATTTGGCATTGCATACTATAACCTTTAAATAATTCATTAAAGTTTTTAGGTAATAATTTCATGTTCTAGAAGGAGCATTCAGTTCCCTACTAGAGGTTTCGACATACATTCAAAAGATTGTCATTTATAATAAGACATTCAGCATTTGATTACAATATATCAATAAGAGAAATTCGTTTAGAAGATGATAATTGTGTGGTTAATAAATTAATCTATTAGAGATTTGACTTAAATGTTGACAGCAATACTGTATTGCTTAATTTCAGAATTATAGATTTTCTTGGTCATATAAATACTAAGAGAATATTCATCCATCTTTTTAATTTGGTTCATAATTACACTTTCTTTAGTTTTTTGTGTCATGCTCTTTTAGATCTTACTGTTTAACTTACCCGTTGTGTATTCCTATGTGTTCCAGGTTCATTCTGCATTTTTGATCTTTGCATCTATTCCATTCATTTTTCCAAGGTTGAAATAAGCATATCCAGGGATATGTCCTTTACTTAAGTAGCTTATCCTTTTAAGGGTTTTCATTTCTATATCCATGTTAGGTTTTTGATTCTTCTTTTTTCCTGTTCATAAAATCTATTCTGTTTTCTTTTGTTGATTAATTTTTTCTTGCCATTAGAGTTGTTTTCACTGCTATTCTGGACTTACTTTCAGGAATTGGCCAAAATGTCTTTCTCCTTGTTCCATTATCTCTAAATAAATTCTTTCATTATGTCTTGTCCTAAGATATTTTTCTCAAACAATAAATAATAGGAAATTTGTTTTATCTTCTAATATGATCCTTATTCATTTCTCCATTTAGCCGTAACAGTTTTATATATGAGTTCTCTGAAAATATTTAATTTAATTTGACGATCGATTTATTTCCTCTCTTGGAAGTCAGCTTCCATAAAGGCAATTACCTTGTCAATTACTTCCTTAGGTAGTTGTTTTTTAGACCAATTTGCATACCTAAAAAGTATTTCCCTTGAGAGTTTGCCATAATTAGATTTTGATTCTCTTTTATAATCATATTGCTAGATTATTGTATCTTATCAAGGGAGTACATAGAGAATCTATAATTTAGTCAGCATTCTAAAAGGAATGATTTTCCTAATCATTGGTAATTGTCTTGTCTTATTCGAATCCATTTCTATTATTATGTTATATTTCCTCTAATGTTGATTCTGATTTGAAGATATTTAAAAGTTTTCACTTTTCCTTATTCCAAGTTCCTTAAGATATGGATGTCTCTGTTGGTTATGAATTTCATTTTTTCATATTGACATTGAAGTTTCCCTGTCTGAAAGTTTAATGAAGAGGTATTAGCATGTTCCAATAATCTCCTAGTTAACTATAATTACTGCATCATCTGTATAAGCTAAGATTTGAATATCATCAAACAATTTCTTTTTACTTCTACTTCTGTTGTTTAATTTATTCTTGTATCCCTAGGCAACCTGAAATTTAAAAGTGTATAGGGCAGAGAGAAAGCATATATCAAATAGGAATGAGCTTAAAACTGATCCCTATGCCAGTCCATTTTTGTATTTAACTTTTTTTTGTGGATAGAATTAAATGTTTAGAGTTTGTCAAATAGATTGAATAAATACTTTAGGCTATTCTAGTTCACTACAGAGATTTCGTTTATCATTTCTAAAACTTTCCTCCATCAATGTTGTTACATGCATTTGAAAGATTAAAAAAAGCCACTTATTTTTTTATACCTTTTCACTTTTCATTATTTGCATATCTTCAATTTTGGCTTGGTTGGGTATAAATTTATTTAATGGTATCAATTTCAATGACCGATTGCTCTTTTGAATTAGTTTATTTATAAAAATGTATTCTAAATCAATAATCATGTAATTATTTCTTTAGGTGTAAAAAAAAAATTTAAATAAATATTGCTATTATCAAAATTAAAGAATCCTAGAATGCATTTATTAATTTTTGAGTTTTATAACATCAATGCCTAAAATAAGTCAATTAAACTTCTTTTTTGTAAATAATTGTAACAATAACTCTTAAAAAATTTGTGCTTGAAAAAGGAAATTAAAAAGAAAACAAACCCCAATACTAAAAGTTAAGTGCTTAATGAAAAAAATTTCAAGACATAAAAAAGAATCCAAAATTGATTATTAAAATCAATTTATGAAAAAATATAATATAATAAAAACTTTCTTTTTAATTTTTAAGTTATTGTATTTTAAATGTAGAATTTTAATTTAAGTAAAAAATTTCAATAAAAAATTAATCCTTAATTCATACATCTCTTGGAAAAAATTCAAGATTATTTCATTAACCTTTTACAATACTAATTAATCAAAATTCCCCATTAATAAATAACGTTATCCAAACTAAAAATTCATATGAACTACCTTTTATGAGAAAAATACTCATCGGCACTATTGAGCAAAAGCTTGACCATGAGTATGAATTACAATTATTTTCTTCCTTATTCAATTTATGGTTTGAGATAAACCAAAATTTGCACTCAATTGATCTAAATAATTATCCATTATGCTTGATATTATACCTTTGCATCTTTTAGCTTTCTTCAATCCTTATTGGAAAAAGTCACATCTAACAACTGAATACTATTTTAAATCTGTAATTTGTGCATTTCTTTGTGATAGGTAAGAAAATCTTCTTGCTTACTCGCTCTCTGAAGTATATAGCAGAGAGTCTAACGTTGTGGTGAGGATGTAAGTGTGTCGGAAGACCTGTATCATTGGAGTACGAGATTTGAAAAAATGAAGATGATAAAAAGGAGCTCTGAGGAATAAAGTAAAAGAAATTCAATATTATTTTAAAAAGATAATGAATTGCACTTATCATATTTTAAGTCCATTATTATTAATATGTATGGCTCCTCATAAGTATTAATGTTATAGGAAGCTTTGTCTTGAATGCCTTTTTGAACATGAAGTGGATATCAAGCAAACAGTTCCTCTTAAAAAATTTCAAGAGATGGTAATCATGAGATTAAAAGAATATAAAATTGATTAGACATCTGAATTAACAAAATAGAAAATGAATTTTAAATTGATTCTTTCCTAAACTTAAATTATGTTAATGAAAATTTGGGAAGAATTATAAGAGTCAATACAATAAATATACGATATAATTGAGATTGAAGATAAATCATATATAAAAATCATTAATCACAATATAAATCCAGCAGAATTTTCAAATACTGACTTAGAAAAATTAGTATAAATTGTTGAAGGAAAATCATAAAATGATTGGAATAATTTGAAGAATTCTTGATTTGGAGAAGTTGGAAAAACTCAAGAATTTTTTGGATCAAAAAGTCAAGAATTTTTGTGAAAAATTGAAGAAAGAATTTAAAGACATTGTGTAATTTAATAAGTATGTATAAATTCATACTATAGGATTGAACCAATATCATAAGTAAACTAAATTGATGGATAGAATTCAGCTTTAACTGAGATTTTAGCTTCCTTAAAAGATATTGATGTATAAAAATTAACTGTGATCAATAATTAGATGAGACGAGAAAAAATTTCAGATATAGTAGGATTTCTTTCCGTTACTTAAAAGCAATTAGAATAATACTTTGGGAAGAAAAATGCAAAAAATGATTTGAGAAATAATATAAAGTCAATTACAGATGTTATTAAAATATTTAAAAACATCACTTTAATTAAAACGATTATTCAATTGAATTTTATAAAGAGATTATAAATGATATCATCAAAAAAATAGAAAAAAATTATAAAATCATTGAATTTTTAAAATTCTTAGCTCATTTAACAGCTATAGATAATCTTTTTAGCTAATGTGGATCAATTTCATTAAATTTATTAGTTTTGATGAAGATTGATCTAACCTAATAATTTTTTGAAAACATAAGGATTCAAAACACCTCATTGGTAGGTGCTAATTTATTTAGGTGCAATTTAATGGATCTTAATTTAATAATGTAGATATTAGCGGAATGAATTTAAATGGGACATATTTAATTAAATCGTAAAACATAAGGATGAACGAATTAAATAACTTAGATGGTCATCATAATACTGTCTCTTCAGTATGCTTCTCTCCTGAAGTGTATTACATTAGCATCTGGTAGTGCAGATAAATCTATACGTTTATGGAATATTATTACAGGACAATAAATATAGATTTTGAATAGTGAAAGTAGTACTATTTTTTCAGTACACTTCTCTACTGATGGTTCAACATTAGCATCTGGCAGTATGGATAATTCAATTAATTTATGGGATGTTAATACAGGAAAATAAAAAGTGAAATTGGATGAAAACTATAATTGCATTAGTGCAGTTTGCTTTTCTTCTGATTGTAGTATATTAGCTTGTGGTAGTGTAGATAAGTCAATCAGTTTATGGGATTTCAAAATAGGAAAAGAAATTATATGCTCTGATAAAAGTTATCAAGAAATTTTACTATAATTTAAACACCTCTTTTTTTAAATAATCCATAATCAGAAATCAGTAAATTTTTAATATTATTTAGTCAATACCAACTTCGTTGTTCTTCTTATATCTCAATAGCCAATACTTTAAGCATCATGTGCTTTAATCTTGAAAATTGAATTTGTAAATTATCAAGGCTTAGATTTAAAATAATTATTAAAATCTAAAGGAAGGTGTATTTTGGAAAACAATTCAGAAAATTCATATAAAATAGATCAAAATTGCATTTTATAATGAATATCATAGTTAAATTTAAATATGAATTTTAATAATTTTTTTTAATGTTATTAAATTGTCAAAGTTTTTACAACCTTTTGTTCTAAAAATAAGCTTAATATAATTTAAAAGAAAATTTTTAATATCTATTGTAAAAACTCAATAAGCCATCTATATGTTTGATTATTTTTATTAGTCTATCCCTTTTAATCTTAAATTTCTAGTACTTGATTGAATAAATTCAATTTTATTTACATCCTTTAAATAGTTTGCTAATCCCTTTCAAATACTATAGAGTCAATACAATTATTCAAATATTCTATGATCAAAAATTCCATAAACACTGAAATTAATAATTTTTGAGGACGAAAGAATTTTTTAAATTTAACTAAGTTGATAGAAACAATAAAATTATAACATTTAAGTCTTTATAAGAAAGAACTTAGAAATTATTTGTCTAATGTAGTACTCTCATTAATAATGAAAGTTAAGCGTGGAGCTTAAAATAGTTGGATAAAGGATGTATAGTAAAATTATCTTATACTAAATAAGTTAAAATCTAGCAAATTCATATTCGCTTTTTATTCTTAGAGGAGGGAATTCTCGATACTTATCAAAAAAAAAGAGTAGAATATGAAGTATATTATTATTAACTTTTTTTAATTTGTGATAGAGATTACTTATATTTGTATTTGGATAATATCCTTTTCCTTTGGTAAACTTTGTACCAGTTTATCCATCAAACTTTTGGACCTTAAATTTCATAAAAGTTTTTTGTGACTTTTACTAGAAATTTAATAACATTTGCTTATTTGAAGCTCTTAATTTCTAAGTTATACCAACTCATACTAGGAGGGAAAGGAAGAAATATAAAAGAGATCTTTAACAGGAATAAGGCCGAATACTGTATAAATTAAACAAAATATGAAATATTAATATCATGATTTATTATTTTGATATTGAATTTTTTGTGGTCAAAAATGCAAACTGAACCATTCAATATATGAATAGACTTAATGCCTAAATACTCATAGAATTAAGGGACTGGTTATTTTCCGGCCTATTCAAAACTTTTACTAGGCTTCGAAAGACTAGTGTGAGCTACGATGGGCTAATGTCTCCAAATGTCATTTATGTTACCTGGCTCCCTGACGAGATTAAGTACTGATTTAGTCAAGGTAAAGGGAGATGAATTAGGTTATTCCAGTTAGAAAACTAAGTAGGGAAAAAAAGTAGATAGACAAAAAGTCCTCAAAACTCAATATACCAGAAAGAAAAAGAAATAGCCAGACCATATCAGTCAGTCGAAAGTCGTATGTTAATTAAGGTATGCTAGTATACGCGTGAGCCATGACTATAGAAGCCTGATCTATAGTTTAAGAGGGAGTTTTCAAAAAGCCCAGCCCAGCCTAGCCTAGCCATAACAAACAGGTCCCTTGTTACTATGTACTTTCTAAAATTAACTTTTATTTATTTATTTTAGGTTTCAACTCCAAAACTCTTCTTTTATAAAAAATATGATTCAAATTTCGCAAATTATTAATTTTATACTTCAAAGTCTTTATTCTATGTTTCTTGATATATTTTTTAATTAAGTGAAATTAACATCAATCGAATAAGCAATAAAAATTAATTTAAAGAATTAATTAATTAATAAGGATCGAATAAAAAACCAAAATAAATTAAGTATACTCCAAGAATATTTATAAGAATAATGATTTTTTATTTACGAATAAGAATCAAATAAATTATCATATCTGATATTCTTTTAAATCCTTATCCCATCAATAAGATTATCAATTATAATCATACTTCAAAATCTAATAAATTTGGAACTTAATAGATTACTAAATTTAATTTACTTTTTGTTATATATTTAATATGTATTTCATTTTTTTCATTTTGTATAAATAATCGGTTTATATTATGGATTAAATATCATTTGATTAATGATTAATTAGTTTTTGTTATCTCAATAATAAACTTGCTGATATTTAGATATTTCAATTATAAAATGGAGTTATCTTATTATAATATTAAGCCCATGATAAATTATAGATTAATTTTAAATAATTCTGGATTGAAATATTTCTATCGAATTAATGATATTAGACTATAAATATAATGTCAATATTATTAAAGAAATTTATTAACAAAAAAAATGTATTAATTCATTTTTATTATGTTTTGAGAGTATTTTATTAACAATAATTGCAATATATAAATATAGATATAATTAAAGCGCAATTATCATTAATATATTTATTAGATGTTTCGATTGTCTTCACAAAGTCATAACTTTATTGTATTTTCAATCTTTGCTTTACTAATCTCATCCTGCTAAGCAATCAATAATTTGAAAGGGCACATTGAGGGTATATTTATAATAACAGTTAGGTCGTCATAATAGGCATTTTTATTCAAACGATTAGAAGGACAACCCAATAATAGCCATAATTATTGGAGTCTTAGTTATTTTTGGTGCATCAGCTTTGTTATGGTACAATGAGAGAAGGTTTTTTATTTATCACATCAAAATAATAGATAGGCAATTACGGAATATAGATTAGAATAAGCAAAAAAATAATGCATATCAGTCAACTCTTCGGAAGTTAATCCTAATACCAATCATTAATTGATTCATATAAATGGTATTAATTAAACAATATTAATATAATAGGTGAAAGCAGAACTAGTGAACTAGTAGAGGATGCTGCTTTTGGTTTGTCATTGAAAGATTGTATTAAATTAGTGAGAAAAGTAGAAATGTACTAATGGGTACGCAAATCAAGAAAAAATAGAAGAGTTGGTTATTATTATGTTTAAGAATGGAGTTCAACTTTCCATTCAGATTGCGATGAGGAACACAATAATGACAAGTCTAAATGGATTTTAGAAGAATAGATAAAAGTTAATTAGAACGTTCGCATAGGTGCTTATTTAATGAGCAAGTCTTTGGCAGAATAAACTAATGCAAATGAGAATATACTAATGTTTTCAAATAATGCATAAGCAGTTTCTAATTTTTACAAATATTCATAGGGATTTTAGGATTTGTACAAATATATCTATATTTTAGTGAAGCAAATGGACCATATATATATTTCTAATAAAATAAAGGAACTGTCACTCTAAATGATTTGAGAGTTTCATTCGATGCTGCAAGAACTGGTCCTACAACTGTTGTTTCTCAATAAGATTATGATTCATTTACACCTTTTATTATTCATGATAAATTTGAATAGACTTTAACTAGAGATGAAAATTTGGAAGATTTGTAATTATCATGTACTACTTGCTTTTGTATCTGTTGTAAACTTTGTAGATCACTTGAAAAACCTCTCATTTAAATAGATTGGATTTTCGAATCAACTTTAACATTAAATTAAGTTTTTTAAAATTAAGCAGAAGAAAATGCATGTATTACATTGGGAAATAGAATTGCTGGTTATGTGGTGATGGTAATATATTAATTTATTTGATAGGGAATAGGTTTTTGTATGATATTTTCACCAATTACTTGGTTGTTATCTTGGTTTCCAATGATTGGAACTTTTTTAGCTTCTTTTACAGGTTTTATTTTCTTTTTAGTAAGTTTTATTATTTCAATTCCATTTTCACTGTTAACAATAGCTTTTGCATGGTTAATTTATCATCCAAAATATGGAATCGCTTTAATTGCTCTATCTGGTTTAATTAGTGCAGGAATATACTTTTACATAAAAAGTTAAAGTTGAAAAATAATTACATAATTAAAATTAAAAAAGTTTTAATCTATTTCTAGACAAAATTTTCTTAACTTCTAGTTCTAAATAATATAGAAAATTAAAATTCTAAGAGTTGAATAAGAACAAAAACCATTAAAAATTGATTTCGAATTTAGGTCTAGTATTTTTTGTAATCATTTATATTATAGTTTTATATATACATATATAATTACTTACTAAAAGATTTCTCAATAGAAATCAATATTAAATTAAGAAATACATTTTTATATATTTTATTTCGTTTCATATAATATTAGACAATATAAAAATGAGTAATAAACAATGATAATAATTTTTATTATCCTCAATTCAATTCTCATAGAGTAATAAAACACTCCAGAGTTACAAATGATAACCAAAAAAATTCATCTGAAAATCAAACTACCTTTTCTCTTTTTATCTATTTTCACTATCAACAAAATAAACTTAAAGTCTCTAAGAACTAATCCTAGGCCATATTCCTACATTTTATAATTCTGTTTATTAATTTATTTCAATTAGTCTTATCCATCTATGTTATGATATATTTTATTATTCTAATGAAAGTGAAATCCAACAACCTATATACTGAATGTTCAATTACTTATTGCTATAAATTTGCTATATAAATGGAGATTGATTTTAGATCAAAATAATGATTCTTTTTATTCATGATAATAACATTTTTATCATAGGATATAGAAGAGTTATTAAATGCATTATTATTCTAAGAAGATCAATTTAAAATCACTTAATAATTTTTTTTATTTTGTATCATGATATTTCAAATGTATCTAAGCAGAAATTTGAATATTTGGATAGATAATAATATTGGAGATTTTATTTGAAATTATTAAGATTTTAGAATTATTATATTCATAAATATATAAATAT